ATTCCCCTTGATGATGATAAAATAAAACAAAGATTTGTTCGATTCTTCGTAGATTTATTACTATTCTCCACACAATTTCTCAATAAAGCAGATCATCGTGCTTTCCTGCTTACTCCATCTCGATTTCCATCCATCTCATTCGCTCTCATTAGCTCACATCTGAAGCGATTCCAATGAAATGTGTTTTCGAATAAAAATGGTCCATGCGATGCGATCGAATTTAAATTGAAAAATTTGATTTTAATTCTAGCATTTGAAATGTGTTTTCATTAACATAATTAACGCCGAATTAAATGTTTAGTATCTGTCGCCCTCGCCTCTCACAGATTCCCCTTGTGGCATGTTTTCGTTTAATTTGTTGTAAAAAATAAATAAATTACATTTTACAGCGAAGAAAGTTCCCTTAAAACACTGAGGACACATTGACAGCCATTCGTCAGGGCATTAAATTTGTATTTGTTTTTGGAGGGAGCGTATTTTTTATTATTTTTTAGGATGCATTAAAAGTCAAACGATCTTGGGCGTGTTTATTTCTTCACTTTCGTGTGTCTCTCGATTTGGGGGGTCCGTGGGGGATCGAAGATGTTTTTGGATGCCGAGAGAGGTCTTCCCCCCTTGATTTATGTTTGTGGCTCATTTATATTGAAATTTGATATATTTAAGCACACGCGGTTCATTTTGCAAAAGCCGCCGGCTCCACTTCGTATTTTATATTCGAATTAATTGAAATGATTGTGATCTACAACATCGTCGACTCACGGGTATTCACATATATAGTCACTTCGGATCTGTATATATCGCCATGAGTATCGCTTTGTCTCCTTTGTCTTTGGTCTCGTTTCCATCCATATAAATTATATCTCCGGCAGACAATAGTACAACACCTCCTAAACGCTCTTGATAAATGGCCAGAGACCTCTTTTTAAGTTACAGTTTTTAATGCCTTAACTTGGCTAAACCCATAAATGTTTTGGGGCGTGTAGATAGTTGTAAGGTTTGGGGTTATTGTAGGCGTTTTTTATAAAATTTGCTTAAGTTTTAGTCGCTAAAAAGAAAGCCGCCAATTTTATTTTACAAGTTTTTTCTATTTGAAGTATATTAAATTTGGTAAAAAGAAATATGAATGAAATAAGAAGCCTAAGAGTATAGATAACAGTATCATAACGAACAATTTAAAGGGTATTGACACACTAACAGGGAAGCATTGATAATGTGCAGCTTCTGACTTTCAAATAGTTTTCCACGCTTAAAAATGCTATTACATAAAAATAACAAATTTTATTCATGTATATTTATATATTTAAACCTAAATGATACATCTGTTAATCCTTAGAAAATTAGAAAAATATTTGCATACTTTATTATCTTGTTAACCAGATGCAAAGAGCTGCTAGTTCTATATACTTATTAAACAAATGGTATACTACATGGAAAACAATTAGGAAGAAAAGCGCCCCAACTATATAAAACCATATACGTGAATCATTTCATACCTAAGGGCAACTCTATACTTTTCTATTATTTACTGATACTAGAAACTTATTCAAATATATAAATTGTATATTTTTTTATTCAAATATATATATATATATATATATTCAAATATTCAAAAGTTTTCTCATTAATCTTTAGTACTTAAAGAACTGATAAACTTTTTTGTTCTACTTTCTAGAAAAGGACTTGGGTTTATGTTATATAGTGCCTATATATAATATGCTTGATATGGTTTGTAAATATATATTAATATACACAATATCCGTAACCCCAATAAATTTAAATGCAAAAATCATTGGCATTTGTCAAGCTACACAGAGCGATGCTCACATTTAAGTACAAAGAAACAGAAGAGGCAAAAACACAAGTCCAACCAACTAAGAAGTAAAAATAAATCCGAGAGCAGATCAGATCATCCGGAGGAGGGGTCATCCACAAAGGCAAGTTGATCACCCGCTGACAGAAAATCACTTGGCAACGCGGCTGATCATTAACCGATAACACATGACATTAAAGGGGTTCACAAAGAAGAAGTTTTAAACGCACACAAAATAAGATAAATACCGACCACCCCAATGAGGAGGAACCCAACAACGAGTCCAACAGAAACGAGTAAACGAGCGGAAAATTAATAGTGTGAACGCATGAGGGGATATGAGGAGCTGTGGAGCTGGAGGAGCTGGAGCAGAAGGATGACCAAGCAGCAAGGTAGATCTGGGCATCTGAGATAAGTATCAGCTTACATTGGAGCCAGGTCGCCGCAGAACGATGACGACGGACGGTAGTAGGGAGTTGGAAATTTGTCAAAATGTCAACGGGTGAAACAGTTTTGGAACAGACTGGACTGGGGATATGCTGTGAGATTCGATGGGGATTGTGTGGCACTGGGGGAGACCTCTTATGGAGCAGCCACGTAGCTTTTGTAAAACAAACCATTAGCAGCTAATAAACATTAGTCATGCGACAAAACAAAGTCTCGGTGTGTGTGTTTTGGAGAGAGGGAGGAGGCCCAAGATCTTACGGTCTCGATGATTTAGTGAGAGTAATTAAAACTTAAGTTTCCTTCGCTTCGCATATGTAAATGATCTCGCGGAATTCCACGAAAATCCAACCGAACCGAAAAACGAAATAAAACAGTTTTTCAGCTAAGGTTAAACAAGTTTTTTTAGTGTTTGCTCCTCTCCATCGGGTTCCTATATACATATATCCACATATAATTATAATGGATAGCCTGTTTAATTGAAATTTATGCAGATCGTGGTTACCCACGAAGCAACCAGCGCGTGTTGACAGTCAGAGTGCTATCAATTATTAGACCAAGAACCTATACTCTAAGAGCTGGCCACCGTTATACCTTGGTTAACTAACAATCCTGATAGTATCGTTTTGTAAATTATCGCCTACAAATTGTGTACAAGATTATGGAAGCTGGCACATTAGAAACTCGATGAGGAAAATGGCAATTACGAGCGGATTCTCCACATCCTTGTGAGTCACATCATTCCCAACTTGGCCCGGGATCATGTAGCTGTAAATGTATACCACTTAATTTTACCATTCTGGCACTTTCCTGTCCCGATTTCAGGTTGTGTGTCACCCATTTGGCTTAGCTTAACTCTTCTCCGGTACTTTGGAGTCCTCGGTCCACACTGGCACTGGTTATTTATTAGCTTTTCATCCAATCACAAATCACCTGAAGCATTTTGTTCTGTACATTTTTATGGTTGCTACTGATTCTGTGCAAGTGTAAGGAAATCGTCTTGCTCTGAAGCCTTTATTTATTTACAAGGAGGATGTGTGTCCAAGTGCTGTGGTTTTACTTAAGTAAAAGCTTTTTTGAAAGGACGCACTGAATTGTTATTATTTTATTGAACAAGTTGACTTTTGCACACCCTTTTATAGTTTTTATAACAGCTATACTATATAGCTAACCGATTTGAATACCATGTGTGAAAAACGAAGCCAAAATCAAGGATTACATTAACTTTAAACAATACTTCATTTCGATCTTATCAAATTATATTATTAAATCTCTTATTGATTTATAATTACTACGTTTACTTTACCATTGCTTAGAAATCAAACAAAACTGTTCTACATATAAATTTGATTTGACTTTTCATTAATTATGAGTAGAAATGACAAAGAGTGTTTTCCATTTTTCATTTCCATTTTCCATTTTTTCCATTTCCATTTTAGAAAATCTATTAATTTTCATGCAATTTGTTAAAACTATAGAACAGTCGGTCAAGTCCTACTTGAGTTCAAATTTAAGGGTTAGAGGAATTCAATTTATAAATAAAATTCAATATTCTGAAGCAAAATTATTATGGGAATTATTATATTAAGATTTTAATAACTCTGAACGCTAGATTGGAATGGGTCACTATTCAACTCTCACTAGAAACCCAATTAGGAAAAGATTAGTACCAAAATGTGTCGAAATTGTGTTAGAAAGCAATAAAAGTATTGTTAATATTTTATAATTTATAGAATTTATTTTGTTATTCCCCGGTCAGGGGGATTTAATTAGGTTCGTTATTTTATGTTATTAATAGTAAATTTAAATATATTTTCTCCATAAAACATACACCATTGGTCATAATCTTGTGCTGCTCAGAATTTATAATTCTAATCCCTTCCGTAGCACTTCAGCACTTCCTTTCCCTTCAACCTATTAGATAACCCTTAATATTTACCCCTGCTTTATGTGATACCCTGTAGTTTTAAAGCAAGATACCCACTATACTGTTCAGCAAAAGATGCATGGACCATTCGTGTCACCTTTAAATATGGTCGCTGCGCATGCGCAAAACCGTAAGATTCACACATGCCTGGGAAAGAGGCGAGGATTTGCGGACGGGAATGTGAATGTGGATGGTGAATGTGAATGTGTGTTTGGCGAACAAGGGAAATACATTTTAAAAACTTAACGATGCGCACATTTTATTATCGCAATTAATTACAAAAACAACGCAGCCGAAAAGAAGAAATCTTAGTCACTTTATCTGAGGAGCCCTGAGGAGAGAAAAGGCTGAAAGATGGGAATGAGCGGGACAGAGTGGCAGAGAGATCCGAGCGATCTGAGGGCTGCGATAAGCTTTATGATATATGAGACTAGTAAAATGCTACTACCAAATGGTTCTCGACTCGGAGATCGCTGCTCCTGTCGTAATTGGAGGCGCGACAGTTTGTCTCAGCAGTCAAACCCGGTTAATGGGAGAGCACTGCCTCGGAGAGCTACGAGTGCACGGAAACCTGTTTCTCGACCAATTAAATTCAAGAGAGAGAGAGAGTGAGATTGAGCCTGGCTTTAGGCCTGGTCAAGAGATGTTGACGGCTGCTGCGGGCCATCAGACCAAGACATTTCGAGTTTCGACGCGCACCGCGACAGTTCCCGCTCCGAAGCGTCTGAGCCAAGTCTGAGTTTCTCGGTTTCCTCGGCGGCCTAAGTACGATTGATTCTTCCCCGATCGGTGGAGTATAGAATGGGTTTTAAGCACGCCATGCTGCAGCGCAGTTACGAGCTGTCGCCCTCCCCGGCGCGAACACCACCCATGCCAGCCAATGCCACCACTAGAACCACCCAAGAGGCGGCTCCGCCGGCGGCAGCTATGCCACCCGTTCAAGTCACCGACTTTAGCATCAGCCGGATACTGGGCAAGGAGCGAAAAAGTGTCCAAGATGCAAGCACCAATATCCTTGATCTCTCCAAGAGCAGCAGCCACATCAACAGCAGAGGCAGTGACCTGAGAACAGCTCAACCAACAGGATTACCCCCAGCAGGACCTGTATTGTCATCACCCTACGGATGCTACTCCATGCTGCCTCCGGATCTGGTGGCCATGGCCAATGCCACCCAGTTCTATGCCAAATTCTTCCCGCACCTATTGCCCGCCTATGCGGCAGCAGCTGCAGCTGCAGGACTCAGTACTCCGCCCACTTCGCCATATCAGCAACCTCTCCCACAACAGCATCCGCCCCAGCTTCAGCCGCAGCAGAAGCGCTACTTTGCGCCCTATGTAATTAATGGCCAAGTTTCCCATCAGCAACAGCAGCAGCAGCAAATCCGTACCAAAGGTCCTGCCTGCACCCGTCTGGACTGCCAGGAGTGCCTGGATTACTATCAAAGACTGCAGGCTGGCTACAAGCAATCGACGCCTCTTATATCACCCGCTGCCTCATCCGTGAGCAGTTCCAGCGGCATCCTGCGACCAGCAAGGGAATTAACCATGACTGCCGCCGGAGGATCCGTCACCAAAAATATTTCTCTGAGCTCCGTAACCAACCTAAATCTGAGTTTGAACATGGCTCAGACAGCTGCTGTGTCCACTGTCGTCGGGAGCAGCTCAGGAGCGATCGGTGGTTACAACACAGCTGCAGCCGAGGAGATCAGCTACAAGTGCAGGATATGCGAAAAAGTCTTTGGATGCTCCGAAACTTTACAGGTGAGCGTAGGGAAAATTATAAAAAAATGTCTTTATCAAAAACAGATAAGGATTTACTTGTACTGTAGACTGATTGGTCTTCGTTCTCTTTTAGTTTAAAAAGAAACCCATTTAAAATAAATTTTATTTAGGAAAAACGGTTTTTACAAAATAGAAGAGTCTTACCTTAGAGGTACAGGAATTCAATCACTTTTGTTTACGTCAACAAAAACACATATATTTTATTGGATAGGAAAGTTTAAAATCCAGTTCTTTAAAATTTGTATCATACTCCAATATAGCAAACCATCTAAAGGTTTCGGAAAAATATCTAAATGCCTTATTTTGAAAATATTATTTGTTTTAATTGATGATAGAGTTTACTTATCGTTCCAATAGGGTAGAAAAGACGTTTATTACTTTTAAAAATCTTATTAAGAAGGAGTAAATCGAATCAAAGTTTTACTATTCTACAAGCTCTCAATTAAATAAAATATAAAACGTGTTGAAATTTTAAATTGTTTTTTTTTTTTTATGACGCCCCAAACATAGATAATAGATGCTCACAATGTTCATTTAACTTACGAAATTATTTTAATGTTTCTGCTGTACAGTCAATAGAGATCACTTAATTAGTCTTTCTGATAGTTTGCCTTTTGTAATAATCCAAAAATCAAATATAATCAAGTATATAATTTAAATTCAAATTACCTAAGTATGTCTTTCATTATAAAGATAATGTTTTACAATGAATTTAAAATGGCGAATTTAATACTTGAAAATTTTTATTGATTGTAAAAAAGTTGTATAAACAAACTGATTTCTTTACTTTTTTATTTCTGATTTAAAATTTTGTTTAACTGTTTATTTTTGACTCAAATATTTCACATCACTTAAATATTTATTATTTCATTAATCAAATCCATTCGAAACATCAAGCTACATGTATTCAGAAAGAAAACATATTTAACCTTTCTTACTGCAATATATAAAATTAAATATCGTTTTCCCAATTCTCCAAGTAATTGCTCGAGATCTTCAGTAAACTGGTTTCTCCACCAAATGAAAGGGGCGTGGTTTAGCCGATTTAGAAACTAGGGGCGGAGTCTTCTCCAAGTGAGCAAGAAGAGAAGAGGAGAGAAGAGAGCTGGAAAGAATTGTGTGCCTTATGCAAATATCAGCAGCGAGTATCTCAAAATGGAGTCTTCCGAAAACCAGAGGCAAGACGAGCGAGAACTGGTTTTACGCATGGGTGCAGGGCGTTGCTACCAACTTCGTTAGAGAGAGAGAAAGAGAGAGAGAGAGAGAGAGAGAGAGAGAGAGAGAGAGAGAGAGAGAGAGAGAGAGAGAGAGAGAGAGAGAGAGAGAAAGAGAGAGAGGGTCTTAACGAAGTCTCACAAAATGGCCACAAAGAGTAGTATCAGTTTTAGGCCGAAATTATAAGGCAATTCCTTCATAATCAAAGCTCAATGAATTAATTTAAAACAATACTTTGCAGTAAATATACTCAGCTTACTAGTAACCCTTAAGATTTTGAAATACCTGAGGTTCCGTAATAACTTTTACATTTCAAAAAGATTAAACTATATTAATTAAATCATTTTCAAGCTAATAAACATATATTTTTCTTCCCCTTTTTAGGCCCACGAGAAAACCCACAAATCGCCGCGTTATGAATGCTCAGACTGCGGAAAGGGTTTTTCCCAGTTGAGAAACTACAAGTATCACCTGTCCGTGCATCGCGGCACCAAGGAGTTTGCTGCCGAGTGTCCCGAGTGTGGCAAGACCTTTAATGACAAAGGTTACCTCAGTAGCCACATGAAAATCCACCGGAACCGGAAGGAGTACGAGTGTCCATACTGCCCCAAGTCTTTCAATCAACGCGTGGCCTTCAACATGCACGTACGCATTCACACAGGTGTAAAGCCGCACAAGTGCTCCGAGTGCGGCAAGAGGTTTTCCCGGAAGATGCTCCTCAAGCAGCACATGCGCACCCACAGCGGGGAGAAGCCCTACCAGTGTTCCGTGTGTGGAAAGTCCTTTGCCGATCGCAGCAACATGACGCTGCATCATCGTTTGCACTCCGGGATCAAGCCTTTCAGCTGTCCCCTGTGCCCCAAGGCCTTCACCAAGAAGCATCACCTTAAAACGCATCTCAACTATCACACTGGTTGCAAGCCCTATGTCTGCCCGCATCCCAATTGCAACCAGGCCTTCACCCAGTCCAGCAACATGCGCACCCATGCCAAGAAGTGTCAGTATCGTCCTTTGGAGGGGGCACCCACCACATCCCTTCCTCCGGCGGCGGCGACAGTGAAGTCTTCCCAACAATTGCAGATGCCGGTGCCGGCCACTTTGGCTGTTGCCATGGCTACATCACCGGCTTTTGCGATGCCAATGCCACCACCACCTGGACCACAGCCGCCGGCTCAGCAAACCCTCCTCAGCAATCTGAGGACATTTTAAAGGTCTTAAAGGGGAATTATAAATATATATGAAGCATCGCGAGAGGTGCTGAATCTACCAAAATTGTAAAAAATAATTATATTATAATCTTAGTTTTCAGTTTGTTGTTATTCATTTTAGATCTTAACTGCATTTACTCGTAATATTTGATTTAACTATAATCAGTGTCTTAATCTTTATTTAGTCATACGTTTAATAGTTAAGCAGTGACCGCAATGGTTTAATTTGGAAAATAAAAATTACCTTATTATTTTAAAGCTTGCAAATCATAGTTTGTAATTTGGGGCTTTTAAAATAGAGAATATAAAAAAGGGAATATTGATCTAACCAAGTTCTATAATCTTTTATTTAAAACAAGAATATAAGTCATACATAAATATTTATTAAAAAAGAAGAAACAAAAAAAAAAAAAAACAAATCGATTAATAATGATTATGGAATCGTATATTAATTAGAATTAAATTTCATAGAAATCATTGAGGCCAAACTTCTCTAAATAAAATTAAATTAAAATTAAAGTAAATTAATATTCCCAATCTAGTACACAAGTGATTTTCTTTCATAAAACTAAGTTCTTTAAAAATCAAGTTGTTCTAAGTTACAACTTCAACCAAAAGAGCGTTTCTTACATAATTCAATATCTGTTGACAAAAAAAAAAAAAAAATCAGGTACGATTTTTTATAAAAATAATTCTCAACTTATCTAACATTTTTATAAGAAAATCCATTTCTTATAGATACATATATAAAATCAAAAGATCAATAGGAAATAAAAGGACGTATAGTTTCCACAATGGATAACAACACCATAGATGTAGCTGAACTTATGGAATCCATGAAGCTTAAAGAAACTTCCGAGTCGGTTATGAGGCTTGATCGCTATCCTCCCTATTCGCCATTCTTTGGAGTCATGGGTGTCGTTTTTTCAAGTGTATTCAGTTCGTTTGGAGCGGCATACGGCACTGCTGTCGCTGGGACCGGGATATCGGCCACAGCCGTGGTGCGTCCAGAATTGATCATGAAGTCGATTATACCGGTGGTAATGGCGGGAATTATAGCCATTTATGGTCTTGTGGTTTCTGTGCTGCTGTCGGGCGAGCTAGGACCTTCGACTCAGTACTCGTTACCCTCAGGATATGTGCACCTGGGAGCCGGAGTTGCCACAGGATTCTGCGGCTTAGCTGCCGGTTATGCCGTGGGAGAGGTGGGCGACATTGGAGTGCGACAAATCTCCGAGCAGCCTCGCCTCTTTATTGGTATGATTCTTATCTTGATTTTCGCAGAAGTTTTGGGCCTTTATGGACTTATCATCGGCATATATCTGTATACTGTTAACATAAAATAATAAACTGTATAAAATATGTTTGTAACATCAAAAAAAAAACAAAGAATATATTTTCTTTTCTTTATTTGTTAAATTTAAATTTAAATTGAGGTGGTCGTGCGCGGTCGATAAACTTATCGAGTGTACGGTTTCTTATCGATATTTACATATGATAGTTTCATTACTTAATATTTAAAATATTTACACGTGTAAAATGGTTTTCTAGACGTATAAGATTTAAAATTTTAAGTAACAGCTTCGGCAAAACACAAATATCAGATAAAACCAACCAATGAGAATTCTGTTAATTTAAAGCCAACAGTACCCGATAGAGAAGAGAGCGGCTATGTTACCAATTTTACATTTTACATAAAAATTCGACTCCATAAGTGAAAATTCTACCCCATGTATCTGTAAGAGTGGTTATCTACGTGTATATTTAAATAACAGCGTCGGAATTCAGAGTGACCATAAAGAAAATAAAAATACTGCAAAAATATTTTGTCCTTTTTAGAAACCAGCTCGGCCACTCTAATTTGTCAAAATTGCGATTTTTTGTTAGTAATTATTAATTTCACGCAAACGGAAAATACAAAAATCAGGGGCCAAAAGCATTGGGAGCAGTCGAGGAGTCAAGGGTGGCGAAGCCTGAACTGCCGGGCATAAGCCGGCAACCAAAACCGATTTCAAAAAGCTTGTAATTCGGCCAATTTCATCAGAAGTCCCAATTTCATCACTGCACACGTGTCTGAAGCTTTGGTTCTACAATCATATATCAAGCCCAGGCGATTTCCGGACTTTAGTCTGGAACGCCCGTCTGAAATCGAGACACCGGAGCGACTAGCAACAATCCCAGACAGGCTGAGCACGTCAAAGAGCCGAACGCAGGAGGAGGAGGTGCTGCAGGAAAGTGGCAGCGGCGGCGGTGGCAATAGCATACTCTTCTCAGCGATGGATGAGTATTGGCAGCAGCTGACCAACGGTGGCGTTCGTGGAGGAGCATCCACCAACGGCCATGGTCTCGAGGCAGCGGCACAAGCATCTGGCAACAGCGCCAGCGGAGCTACTACCAGCACCAACAGCAACAACAACTATGTGAATTTCAATCAGTTCATTCAACAGCACAACCTAGGTGGAGGATCATCGCCCACTCCCAGCCCCGCAACAATGCAACATCCACTGAGCAGCGTCAATAATACAAATTACAACATCGGCGGTGGCGGAGGAGCCTTTGGTCTGAATCCGCCAGCGGCTCCGCTCGGAAATTCCACGGGCTTTGGTCATGTGAGTGTAGCTATCTTATTATAATATGTTATTATTTATTTGAGAGATACGCCTTGTTGGAACACACTATATAAACTTGTTTGTTTCCACAGCTATATTCACAGCCCATGTTTCAATCTTATCAGAATGGCGATGGCGCCGCCTCCTTTAGCAACAACTATGATGATACCTTTTCAAATCTGTACACACCGTTCGGCAACAATCCCTTTGACTTCAGCTCTTCCAAGCTGCAGGCCTCAGCTCCCGAATTTGTGCCCAACCTGGCCAAGCTAAGTCTGAACGAGGTGCCGGCTGAGGTGGCAACGACGCCAAATGGGAACAGGAATATCACTGCCAGCCAAGAAACTGCCATTAGTGTGACGGGAACAAGAGCGCCACAACCGGGGGGAAACGGTGGATCAGGAGGAGGAGAGCCCCACCACCTTCGTTTATCAGCCAACAATTACGAAAGAGATCGCGGCGACAGAGACTCTCGACCGGGAAGCACCCGGCAGCAGCGTCGCTCTGACTACCGCGACGACCGAGAGGATCGATATGAGCGAAACGATCGCAAGAAGCCACAGAAGCAGCAGCGTTACGACAATCATAGAAGCAACAAACGAAGGGACGACTGGAATCGCAACAGGGACCGCATCAACGGCTTTCCCCGGGCCGCCGACGAGCTGGATACTAGCAACGAGAGTGCTCAGCCGTCGCCCGAAAAGCAGCAAACTACGCAGCAGCAGCAAATATCTCCGCGGCGAGCTGTGCCGCATCCACCGGCGGCGGACAATGAGAAGCTATCGCAGCGAGAGAAACTCATACGCGATATCGAGCAGCGTCGACTGGAGTGCCTGGTGTGCGTGGAGGCAATCAAGGCGCATCAGCCGACGTGGTCCTGCCAGAACTGCTACCACGTTCTCCACCTCAAGTGCACTATTACCTGGGCGAGCAGCTCCAAGTCTGAAGTAGGATGGCGGTGTCCTGCCTGTCAAAATGTCCTCCAAGAGCTGCCGCGCGAGTATCTCTGCTTTTGCGGAAAACTCAAGAACCCGCCGGTGTCCCGTACGGAACTGGCACACAGCTGCGGTGAAGTCTGTTGCCGGATCGAGGGCTGCAGCCATGCTTGTACACTGCTATGCCACCCTGGTCCCTGTCCACCGTGCCAGGCCAATGTGGTGCGCAGCTGTGGTTGCGGACGCAGCTCCAAGACCATGCAGTGCGCCATGAAAGAAGATCTACTCTGCGGCGAGATCTGTGACAAGGTGCTCAATTGTGCCGAGCATCGGTGTCGCGCCGAGTGTCATGCCGGCAAGTGTGCAGCCTGTGCGGAGCAGGTGGAGCAGCACTGTCACTGTGGCAAGCAGGAGCGTCAAGTGCAGTGCACGCGCGAGAATCAAGACAAGCGGAACTACTCGTGCAAGGAGAGTTGCGGGAAGCCCCTGCCCTGCGGTAACCACAAATGCAAGGACTCTTGCCACGCGGGCAACTGTAGGTGAGTACATCAACTCTAGTCAATTCATAACGATTTCTAGGTTTTCTAATATTCCTTTCTCTCTTTTAGGCCTTGTAAGCTAAGTCCCGAACAGATAACAAGCTGTCCATGCGGCAAGATGCCGGTGCCGGCTGATCAACGCTCGAGCTGTCTAGATCCCATACCGACTTGCGAGGGAATTTGCTCGAGGACTCTGCGCTGCGGCAAGCCAGCTCATCCCCATCAGTGCGCCAGCAAGTGCCACTTGGGCCAGTGTCCGCCGTGTCCCAAGCAAACAGCCGTCAAGTGTCGCTGCGGTCACATGGATCAGATGATAAAGTGCCGGCAGCTGTCCACGCGAGCGGATGATGCCCGTTGCAAGCGACGCTGTACGAAGAAGCGCAGCTGCGGCAAGCACAAGTGCAATGCGGAGTGCTGCATCGACATAGATCACGCCTGCCCACTGCCCTGCAATCGGACGCTGAGCTGTGGCAAGCATAAGTGTGATCAACCCTGCCATCGAGGCAACTGTCCGCCGTGCTATCGCAGCAGCTTCGAGGAGCTTTACTGCGAGTGCGGGGCCGAAGTGATATATCCGCCGGTACCATGCGGCACCAAGAAGCCACTCTGCAAGCGACCCTGCTCGCGTTCGCATCCTTGCGATCATCCGCCGCAGCACAACTGCCACTCGGCGGCCACCTGTCCGCCCTGCATGATGTTTACCACCAAGTTCTGCCACGGTGGTCACGAGCAGCGCAAAACTATTCCCTGCTCCCAGGCCAACTTTAGCTGTGGCCTGGCATGCGGCAAGCCCTTGCCATGCGGCCGTCACAAGTGCATCAAGCCGTGCCACGAAGGCGTCTGTCAGAGTGCCGGCGAGGTATGTCGTCAGAGCTGCACTAAGCCGCGGACGCTCTGTGGTCATAAGTGTTCCGCTGCCTGTCATGAGGGAGCCTGTCCCGAGACGCCGTGCAAAGAGCTGGTGGAGGTTCAGTGTGAATGCGGCCACCGGAAGCAGAGTCGCAGCTGCCAGGAGTTGGCCAGGGAGCACAGTCGAATTGCCACCGCTCAGCTGGCCTCCTCTATGGCAGAGATGTCGCGCGGCAACTACATGGAACTGAGCGAAATCCTGGCCCCGGCCAAGACAAGCAAATCGAACCGAACGTAAGGGATGCCTATAGTTGTAAAATGATTTGTATTAAATAATAACAATTTCAGTTTGGACTGCAACGACGAATGCCGTCTGCTGGAGCGTAATCGTCGGCTAGCATCTGCCCTGTCATCGGGCAATTCGGACACAAAGCAAAAGTCACTGACCAAGTACTCGGAGTTTGTTCGCGGTTTTGCCAAGAGAAATCCGGCTCTGACCAAGAGTGTATACGAGACGCTGAGCGATCTGGTGAAGCTGGCCAAGGAGAGCAAGCAGCGCTCACGGAGTCACTCCTTCCCCACCATGAATCGCGAGAAGAGGCAATTGGTGCACGAGTTGTGCGAGATATTTGGTATCGAATCTGTTTCCTACGATAAGGAGCCTAATCGAAATGTTGTGGCCACGGCCCACAAGGAGAGGGTAAGTCGATATAAAAATGTATTCCCAAGCTTAGCTTAACTCTATCAATTTTCTTTCAGTGCTGGCTGCCTGCCACAAGCATCATGGAGGTGCTGGCTCGTGAGTCTGGACAACGTCGTGTCCCTGTGCCCAGCAACAATGCATGGAGCTTAAAGAAATAAAGCAAAATCCATCGTAATTTAATAATAAATACTGTTGGAAGAAGGGAACCTAGAATGAAATATTTGTGGAGCCTAAAACGGTGGCAAACCGAAAGAAAGCTCTATGAGAGGACAATACACATAAACTAGCGAAGCCGATATTGAATGATTTGCCGCCGTATATTTTGTAAATTATAACGAAAGTTAGCTAAAATCTAGAATGCATAAATATGTTGAATATTGAATGGATACGCAGAGGCAGAGTTATGGAGAATCTTGTTAACCAATTCTGTTTCATGATGAATTTAACAAAAATCAAAACCTTCTGAACCCAAAACTAAATAAGAAACAATTGTATACCAGAGGGAAAAATAAATACAAATACTGAGCAGAGGGAAACGTTGTGTTTAAATTTGTAATCGAATCGATTCGATTGAATTTGAATTCGATCTTTGAAATCTTACAGCGGGTTCATAAAATATTTGTTAAATAAAAGCATCGAACATTTTTTTGTATGAACATTTTACCAACAATAATTATTATAATGTCGTAACATCTATAAATGCTTTCTATATCAACTGTCTATAAATCATGATGATTCAGGGGCTTCCAGAGGTAGACTTCAGGTAGAAAACACAGATAAATATTAAGCTCCAAAGGAACCCTAAGTGGCTACGACGAGGAAACCTCCAGACCGGTCGGTACTCCCTCTGGATAGCGCCTGTGCATCGCTACTGGGCTTGTCAGATCACTTGTCCCTGTGCAACGGTGGCTTTAGTTGGGAATTCACCGACTGGACGGTACAGGAATTTTGTCTGTCGAGGGTCGTCAGGGAGTTTCCATTACGCTGAATGGAAGGTGACTTCCTTATTGAGGACGAGGTTTCCTTCTTTTGTAATTTCAGATTGAGAGGCTCCGATGGTGGGAAAATTTTGCTGACCGAGCGGGAGAGCTGTGTTTTGCCAACGGGGGGCTGCTGCTTGGCCTGACGGAGTTGCTCCCACTCCATAGCCATGCTTTTATGGATGTCCTCCCCGTATACCAGGAAAGGCGTATTCGCCTGGCTCACATAGACATTCACCAGCTCCGTGATCTGTTGCTCAATCTTGGGGAGCTTGGCCGAGATGGCCTTACGATCCTTCTCCTCCTTAAGCAGCTGGCCACCCCGATTGTTGAATCGATTTGGATCGTTCGCCTTGGCCACCAGTGCCTCCATGCGCGACCACAGCTCTGCCCGATGGGCGTAGAGCTCGAAAATCTTTTGGTTGCTGTTGTAGAAGTCCTTAAGGCCGTCCAACTCCATCTCGTGCAGTTCCAGGATATCTTCGCTCTCGGAATCGGTGAAGTAGGCGGTGAAGAGTGTGCGTTCCTCTGGGCTCTTCAGGGTGAGCTCCCACCAGATTTTGATTTCACTACGAAGCTGTTCAATGTAGGTCCTCATGTTCTTACTGCGGATGGCCTGGCAGCGGTGCAGCTCCTCCAGGAGCACATCGTAGGTACTCTGGGTGTAGTCCTTGGCCTCTCGCACCTGCTGCTTGTTAAAAGCATCGGTATCTGGGAGTCTTTTCCACAATAATTCAATTTTCTGACGCATGGTATCAATCTGATCGTGTAGCTCCTGGACTTGTCGCGCGTATTCCTTCTGCATGTCGCGAAGCTGCGTCAAGACCTCGAGTTTGGGGGACTGATTATCCTTGCACAGTAGATGTACCTCAGATGCTGTAATGGGAAGCACTTCTAATGTCTTCATGTCAGCCCATATGCTTTCACGCAGCTGGCCAATCTCCTTCAGACGCTGCACTCGCTGGTCACGCAGCTGCGCAAGGTGACCCCGGAACGCGTCCACTTCCTCGGGCAGTGGCAGAGGATCTTCAGCCAGGGTATGTGGAACCTCGTCCAGTTCCTCACAGAGCTGATCCTGCTGCAGCAGCAACTCACAGATCTCGGCTCGTCGGCTGGCCAGCTCCTCGCGCAGGTACTCGATGCTCTTGTTCAGCTCCATCTGCTGGACGACCAGGGGGGAGTTATTTGACCGCTCGTAGATGTCCGTCGACTTGTGGAGCAGGCTTGTGAGGCTACTGGCCTCCGCCCGCAGGACGGCAATCTCGCCGAGGATCGTCTGCTGCTTCTCCTGGGAATCGGTTAGAAGATCCATGTAGAAGGTCTCCACATGGTCCCTCAGCCGGTGGAGGAACTCATTGACGGTATTGGGCTCGAAGATGTGCATCCACAACCCATGCAGCTGATCCCCATATTGGATGGTCATATCCAGGATCTGCTTTTTCACTGTGATGGAATTGTGCGTGTTCATGATTCTGTTTTGTTTGCCAAATTGGTTTGGATTTTGAAAGAAAAGTATTAAATAATGTGAGAGTTGTTCCAATATAACAGTTGACAAATAATAATGGGCTTTCGAGACATCTATTTCCATCTCTCTGTCTCTGTTTCTCTTTCCTTTTCTTTCTTAATCTCTATATTAGTCATAGTCAGTGTGTATCTCTCTCTCTCTCTCTCTCTCTCTCTCTGTATCTCTTGAGATAGCTCCCTACCTTTCTCTATAAATCTCTTTCTCTCTCTCTCTCTCACTTTCTCTATTCTCTTCACTTGCGGACTATAAATACAGGCACTCCCTTCGCACTGACTTCAGTCTGTCCGTGGCCTGTCCAGTGTTTACATCAATACTGACAGGGATAGTGATTGCTCTTTGATCCCAAAAATATCACCTGCCCTGGATAACTTGGAAGTAGCTCACTTCGATGATACCTACCTCTACAGCGGTAAGTCTTAACCATGATATTATATCATGAATATAGATGATCTAGGAGAGATCAGGCATCTATTTTCCAATGTATACCCTTATTTCCATTACCACATTGCTTAATTATAATCTAAAGTGATGCAGCAATTTGTGTTAATTAATTAATTAAAAATTGTATATGTCTGGGGTTATATCGTTGAAATTGTCTACATTTAAATTTAAGTCAATTAGGAGATTTGTTAACCCGTAAAAAACAAGCACAGAAAAGCTATCCGAATTAAAATTAATGCATTTTTCGCTTAGTTATGATATTTAAAAAGCTTTGATAAGCCCAAAACAGTTAACATATGAAAATATCGATTTAAAATACCTAGAATATATATATTTTACGTTTTCTTATAGGTATATGAAGGCCAGAAGGGCAATAATTTGCAAAAGTGATATATATTTCTATTTGCAATCCAAACCTTTATCAATGAAGAACAAAAATTTAAAAAAAATTCGACTTAATATTTAACTGATTTTTAAAAGATTTGTAAACAAATATTATTCAAAAATTTTAAAATGTTTTAATTTGTTGAACATGAAAGCCCAACGTGCTAGTATTCTAGTAAAAGTTAATACGGGAAAAAATTAATGTTAGTTAAGTTGATTCATTTTTGACTTAATTATAATCGATTTCACATTCGAACCCATTTATGCAAGGGCATACACACTTCGGCTTTTCAAAGTTAGCTTCCTTTCTTGATTTCCCTCAAGCTTCCAGCTTGGCTCGCAGTGACCGACTTTAAAGAAAGAAAACTATTTTTTGGGCTTGTAAATTTCGGAACTGAAAATATGGGCCAGTCAGTAGTCCCAACCATTAGTTAATTAAAGCTTCTAAGGGGGAGTGTGAGGAAACTACCTGAAAGCTGCCCAAGGGGGATTCCACCTACCCACCTTCCACCTGCTGGCTGTTCCGTAGTTGTGGAAACTAGAAAATACTTACATACTCCCTCTTACCAACGGGAAACTGCCCTCCCGCTGGCCTGTTACCATCTCGTTTCGGGCTATGGGCACACGCTTCTAATTTGTTGCCATTGCCGTTGCCATTTTCACGAAAAACAATAAGCGGCGCCTAGGGAATAATGCCAAAATAAAGATGAAATGTTACGACAAGTCAAAGTGAGGGGGATTCCCAGGATGAGACGCACTCACGCATTCACCGGAGCCAAGGATATCCTTGGATGCCCCGGATGAAGGGGGTGTTAGAGGGGACAGAGGGTGGTGGGTGTTAAGGCAAAAGGCAAGTCGTATGTATATGAATATAGACCTGACATAATGAGCAGCCTATAAGCGAAATGGCTGCCAACATCGTCGGAGGCCACTCCATGGCCCCGGCCTCTCAAGATGTGTGCGTAATTTGAATTTAGTCTGCCGGGGAGTTTATTAACAAATACAAAGAAATCCGTAAGATGCTGCTGAAATGAGCCAAGGAAAAAAAATACGAAGGAAAGAAAGAAAGCAGGCAGGCAGGCAATAAGTGCCGGCACCGATGGGGTGTGGGTGTGGGTTTGGAACCATAATTCCAGGGAGATTAAATTGCGGTTGGCATCTTTAGGCTGTTGGCTGTCGGTTTTGGCCGCGAGATTGAAGGAAAAAGAGTTCATTTTGGGTCAATTGTAAACCGCTGCATTTGGGTGTGAGTTCGGAATGGAAATGGGATGCTGCGATATTTTTATAAAATGTGTGTAATTTTAATTATGTGTTACAGCATGCCAAAAAAATACAAAATTTAATATAATGAAATGGCACATGCGTATGTGCGTGTGTGTGAACGAATAATACTTGAGCTTTTCCACATTCCATTACGTTATTAATGCAGCTATTTATTTTAAATTTAAATTTTAAACCAACAGAAAATTTAAATTATTTTCAAATTACTTTTTGTGGTCGAGGAGAAAGTTTGTGTGGATTTAAATGTTTTTCACAGCGGGCCCTATTTGTTGCAGTTAAAGTGTGAATTCAAACCAATGTGTTATCATTAGTTGTTAATTTGAGTTGCTATAATACCAATTAAGTAATCATAGGCATTAAATGCCTGCGAAATATGAATGTCAGTTGCATTAAAGCTCATAAGTAGGTTTAAGTGTAAAAAAAGGATTTCAGTTTTTGTTGAAAATATTGGTATATATGGTACTATATAAAAAATAAAAAAGCTTTAAATGTAAAAAATGATTTATGTTTTTATTGAAAATATTAGTAAATATGATAAATAATTAAATATTTTAATAAAAATTCATTTTTGTAATTTATAAAAGATACTTTTTTCCATTACTTCTATTATTTTCTAAAAATTTTCTAGAAAAATTTGTATATAGTCAAATTAAAGGTATATTATTTTATAAATATTGAGAATACAATATCATTGCGACAATTTTTAATAAATGAAGCAATCTTAATATCAGAAATATAATATTGTTTTGCTGTTTAATAAAAATTACTGTTTCTTTTTTTGCTAAATACAAATATTTTTAACAGCAATAAAGGTAACAAAAATAATACTTGAAATTATTATTGAAAATATATTTGGGTTTCTAAATAAAAAACAGAAAATAGTTATAACCTATATAAAATATAAATCTACATATAATAACGACAACGACAAAGTTAGCTTTTAAGCTTAAGCATAAAATATAATGTTTATCGATATGTATACAAAAATATTGAAATTAATGTTATATTAAAAATGTTCCAAAGTTTGATGATTTAAATATGGAACAATATAAATATTATCAAAATATATTCGGACTATTTTTATTTAAACTACGTTTTGTATAACCTCTAAATACTTATTTCCAACAAAAACAGCTCAAACCAAGACTAGGGTCTTGCTATATCTTAAACAGAGTATTATCGAATTATTAAAATATCAATTTATAAATCAGCCTCGCTTTAAAAATCTTAAAAGTACCTGGAAGCCTTTCTAATATTTTATAATATTTTTTTTAGGACGGGTTAGCAAATGCTTTTACCTTAGCTAAACATAAGTTAAAAATAGTTATTTCATCACTCCAATAAATACGAATATGAACTTTGACATTTCCTTTTATCTATAATATGCAGTGCACCATCTAAAAAAAAAACAACAAAAAATTCGTAACATGACAAACATTTGATGCTCATTTGTGACATTTGTCCTGGGAGAACTTTCATACGTCCATATAACATATGCAGTAGCAAGTAATATGAAAGCTGTCCTTAAAATATTCATTAAGTCTGAGTGCAGTGGCTGAAATTATGCCTGCGTGTGGCCCCTGGCCCGGTGTCCTCTCCCCCTCGATCCCTAAGCGTGTCCTGCGTCCTGTGAGCACGTGACCCGACCGAAAAGAGGCGACCACAGAAATGCCACTGCGAGGGGTGAGTGATGGGAATGGCGTCAAGTGGAGAGGAAAGGAGAGGAGAGCAGGAGCCAGTTGCTTTCAATTTGCGCTTTTTGGCATTTTTAAAAATGCATTAAAGGAGCAGCCCCAGCCTCAGCCTCAGCCCCATCAAGGAGCACAAATAACGTGCCCAAAAAGATCTGCAGACAGACACAAACACAGAAAGAATGCGAAAAGTTGCGATGAAAGCGCGAAAATTACTTCCTAAATAGCCGCCTGACTGCCTGCCAAGACTGCTCAGGAATGGCTTCTATAGCCAACGGGGGGACGGACGGAGGAGGCCTAGACGACGAGACTGGGCCGGGACGACCATGTTACTGGTCTCAATAAAGGAGACACACAGGCACAAGCGCACACCAAAGCTGAAGCTCTCACATAGGTACGAGTGCGCCAAGGACCTGGAGACAGGAAGAGGTCACAGAGAGGGGTCGACGGAGTCGAATTCAAATTGCAAATTCGCCGCAGATTTTTTATGCACTTTTCCCTAGCCAAAATTAAGGCAAGGGAACGTGGCGCTCCGGAACGAGTTCCAGACGGAGACCAAGACCAACCCGAGGACGATGAATGTAACAGGAACGAGGACGGGGTCGAGAGGTCCAGGGCCAGGAGCCGGATTGGGACAAGTAAGAGGACGACATTGCTGACGTCTTGACAGCGAAATAAAATAAAAAAAAGGAAATAGACTGCAACAGGACTGGCAATGGAAAGCGGGCAGCCGGAGTACGGGGAAAGGAGGCCCAACTGAATGCAAATATTATCGTATCTGTATGCAAAAACGGGTAGCGGTGGAAAGGAGCGGTAATCACGGAGAGAAACTGCACGGAAAACCAATAATATAAGGTCCTACCTGCATTGAAGGAGCACGGTACAATATGGGTTATTTTTACTGTCAAAGACAGTACAAGTTACGTAATATATATACATTTTTTAAGAAATGTTGCTATAGGAATATTGTTGCAAAGATACAGTAATTAAGCTATGAAAATATAATTGTTTCTTTTTGCTTAAGCACTTTTAAAAAAGTACATAAAATAATGAGGAGTATTTACTACTTTTTACAGTAAAAAAAGCTTTAAAAAATAAACTCTGATTCTAATCATATGCATTTAGACAAACAACACCGAATTTTGTTAGATATTTATTCACATTTATATATATTACAAAATTTCTATATTGTTAAAGTAAGAATATGTTCAAAAGAATCCAGAGGTATCCCTTTTTTATCAGTAAGAA